CCGGGAGGACATCTCTTCAAGGCCGCTCGATACTCTTCCACAGCGTCTGCCATGTTATGATACCACAATTAAGTCACGCGAGAACTGGCAGGAACGCGGGGGGATGAAGCATAAAACCGCAGGTGGACAAAGACGACGAGTACTACTGTTCGCTGTTTGCCGTTTGTTAGTATAAAATACAGGTAGAGTAGTTCCGCAATGCGCACGCACACAGAAATCTGGGCAATGAAGTAGTCAAAACCTGTCAGAGGAATGAGCGTTAGTCAAGGTAACAGCCTGGGGTCCCAACACGTAACTGTGGCCAACACTCGACAGTATCCTGAGAAATCGAAGCTTACGCGAGCTCTGCGCCTGCAGGCAACATCCAGCCCGCAGCGCTGTGCAGCATGCACGTGTGATTTCTGCTTGTATCCCTTCTTCTCCAACCAGTGCACAAGTAGCGGGGCATTGGTGTATGAGCCCAGATGCCGCGAAATAAGACTAGTGACCTTCATTCTGTTCCATCCCACAGTACCGTCAGAGAACCTATGAACAAATGATAAGGTTATTTAATGCAATATAAAATAGAGCATCGCAACAATCTTCGTATATCTTCTGACGGGCCAGTGATCGTCCGACGAACTCGACAGCAAATTATGAAACACAGCCACCAACAAGTTCAGGCGCGCGGGAAAATCGTCCAAGTTCTCACCGTCAATGTTAACTGTGACTTCTGCCATAGTGGCACTGGTACCACACTCGATCTCGCGAAGGAGGGTCGAGAACTTCATATTCCTCACAGTAGAGGAGGCGAGCAAGTCTGTCCTCGCTGTCGGTTAAAGCTGCAATCATATTAGCACTGCCACTAAACTCAAAACGAGCTTGACATTCTTCCAAGTTTCGAGCACGGTCGCGTGCGCAAGGCCATTTTTGCGTCTCATGTTGACAATGTGCCATCACTGCCATGGTCCAGACTCCACTGCGGCTCTAACTTTTATTTCGAGCTTTTTTTTATTTGCTCGGCGATCCAGATTCAATTAAACTAGGAGTCGTGATGTCAATGGCGGTCCTCCGCCACTCCCCGTTTACTACTAAAGTAATGGAAGTTCAACGTTCAACTGTCATGATGAGTGAATTCCTTCCTATTTTTCTGTTGGAAGCTGATACACCGCGTGTAAACGTGTCTTATCTTTTTGCCATATGATCATTTCGTTGTCTGACTGGCTGATGCCTGAAAGCAATGTTTAAACCACCCACCCGTGGGTGCCTGTCCTCCCACAGGATCATAGTCACGTGGGCCGACAGTCTTTGTGCAGACTCGATTTTAGCCAGACACATCACGCGTCAATAGCAACGCTTACTGAAAGTCACTTTTACCACACAGGGGTATCTGCTTACCTTAATGTTCCACGTCCTGTCGATGGGCTGCTTGGAGCGATCGGGAGAATCTCCTGTAGATCGATTCACGGAGAAATCGTGTACGCAATTAATGATGATGGTCACATGAGACTCTGAGAGGAGCCACGAGCCACTCAGATCTTGTCGACCGACGTCAACTTGAGCGCGAACGTGCGTTAGGTAGAGTTTGACTTCACATGCTGCCATTTTATGTTTAGAATAATATCTGGTAAGGCCGCGTATGAAGCCCTATAAGTACTACCATACCGAAGCCAGGGTGGCACAAAACGGCTGCTCGCTACGTGATGCTCCCGTTTTTGAGGTTGTCTGGTTTCATATTACTGGCTTCCCATCAAGTACGAGCAGGTGTTATCAATTCCACGTACACTGCTCCTGGCGCCTTTCCGACCTCGTTATATGGGACGTACTGGAATGACCCTACTGCTACCTCGGCGCAGCCTCAGCCTGTGATAACCGATCCTGTGACGGTCTGTATTGTTCTTCATTAATCTTGATGATGCGTCTAATCTCATGCACTTACCAGAATGAGATATTCCCTTATGAGTTGACAGATCCTGCCAACTTCCCGAAGGTTAGTCACAATCTCTGTCAAGGCACCAGACTGACACACTGTCCATCAGAATGATACTGTGGACCCTCACCCACTGCCAATGCAGGCGACACCTTCGCAGCTTATGGAACAAGCTCTTGCGCAAATTCAAGCAATTGCTAGCAATCCAATCTTTGGCAACGATACATGTACAAAGTGTCAAGCCTCTCTTGCAGTTGCCAAAATGCTCGTGCTTGGTGCTCCTGAACAGGGCCCATTACTTGCTGAAGCAGTCTGCCAGTACTTCAACTACTCGACAACGTGCTACAATGAATATAGCAACCTTGCGCTCGGTTCAACGTTTTCACAAGTTCTTGCGTTTGCCGATGTTGGCGGATATGACGGCCAGGTACGCTACCTGTGACTTCGAATTGAGGTGAAATTTATGAATTTCCTTCCCTGTTCAGAACCTTTGTTCGCATTTTAAGATGTGCCCCGTGCCGCCAACGGCTCCGCTTGACTTGACTGGCTGGTTTGCGAAACCGAAACCAAACCCGCTGCCACCCCCGAAACAGCCTAGCGGCCAGCGTCTGAAGGTCTTTCACATTTCCGACATTCATCTCGACCCTCGTGCGTTGAGTTTGATTTACATCTCAAGCTTATTATGACGATTGCGTTCTACAGGATACGCGATAGGCTCCGAGGCCAACTGTACCGGATACATGTGCTGCCGTGAAAACGTCTTCAATGCGGCGAGCCCTGACCAGGTCTTGCTTCCTGCATCGCGCTTTGGAAATTTTGATTGGTAAATTGAATCATCAACTCAAAGAAATGTTGTGACATCGTGTGCAGTGATGTTCCACTGGACTTGCTGGTTGCGGCGATGGAAGCCATCGGCCCCCTTACTGGTACAGAACAGAGTGGTTTCGACTTCACCATCTATACCGGTGACTTGACTGCGCACGACCCTGACAATTCATATTCAAGGTTCGTTTTCTCCAATTTTGTCTACGAAACGCTCAAACTGCCTGATAGGGCCTATGTTGAGTATGAAGAGGTAAAGTGAATTTCTTTAGAAGTGGATGCGCTTTCATGACGGCCGCCAGGTACTGGCCTACAATTTGTTGAAGGAATATGTTGGCCCTGCGCCTGTCTACCCGACCATCGGAAACCACGACACCTACATGCAGTTTCAAATGATTCCATACACGATGGGCGGTCCTCTCGGGACCCAATTCAACTGGTGGGTTAAAATTCCTCTAAGCGAACCAGACGATGACCGCCCTTAGGCTGTATGAACATGTTTCTTCTTTGTGGCAGTATGAAGGCTGGCTTCCTGAAGCATCGATCGCATATGCTTCAACTCACTATGCTGCATATGCCGTGACACGTCCGGATGGCCTCAAGATCATCTCAATTGATACCAACCTTTGTAAGGTTTCTTGAACCAGAAATCATGCATGTCTCTGATTTTTCTCCCCTTGAAGGGTATACGTATGTCTGGGCTGGTTTTGGTGTTCTCAAGATCCATCTTGATCATTCTTTGCAGTAACAACTACTACGCTTATGTCAACTCCACGGAACCTGATCCGTTTGGTATCTTGCGATTCCTAACGGATGAGCTACAGGCTTCTGAGGATGCTGGTCAACGAGGTTCGTAAAACGACAGATGGTTTAATCTGAATAGTGATCGTTCTTTAGTATGGATTATCGGACATGTGTTGAGTGGATGGGACGGAACTCAAGCACAGATTAATCCGAGCAACCTGTGTATGTGGAATTCATGCTATTGCTACGCTTGACATTTCTAACATTGATTCACATGCAGTCTACCAAATGCATGTCTCTCAACTTTGATGGAGCATGGAACTTGTTAACGTTTACTTTAGTGTCGACCGCTTCTCGCCTCACGTCATTTCCAGTGCGTTCGGCCATTCAGGTTCATGATTTTTATTGTGACATGACACTTTCATGATTAGATATCTTCTATGGCCACACCCACGAGGACCAGCTTTCTGTATGTCTTTTGCCATGTTCAGGTTGTTGGCTTGCCTCATGCTGGAACTATCCGCAGATCTTCTACGCGAACAATGGTACAGTCATGAATGCTGAGACTGCGTTGGCCGCATCTTGGGTATGAAGCCAGAACAACCATTTTGAACATCGACTGATCTGATCATTCAGGTTATGCCGTCACTCTCTCCTTTGACAAATCTCAACGCTGGATTCCGTATGTACGAAATAGATTCCGCTGTAAGTTTTTTTCGTCCTCAGTTTCACAGAGGACTCACTATGAGTTGAATAGACTTTCGACATCCTAGATGCATACACGTAAGCAGCATAATGGGTATGGATGGACTATGACTCACGCTGTTCCAAACATTGCAGTTATGTCAGCAATGTGAACGAGTACCCAGCGTTGGACAATCAGACTCAGGTCGGCCCGTCGTTCTACCTGGAGTACAGTACTCGCGATGCATACGGGGGAAACATCACTTGGGGCGCAAACGACCCCCTCAACGCAACATGGTGGCACCTTGTTACCGAACGTTTGTCTCTTTCCTACTTCCTTGAGCCGACTATAATGATGGTTTTGTCACAGAAATGCTGATCGATCCTGCTCTAGTCCTGGTGAGAACAACAATGAATATGACGATAGACTGACTTTCATAGACATACCACACATACCAATCAAAGAGCTCTGTCGCAAGCCTGAAATGCACTGAAGAGTGCATCATTGCTAAAACATGCTACATGCGCAGCGGTTCGAGTAGTCTGGCGTACCAGAATTGTCCTGCTGGATACTCTTCGACGCAGTGAAAGAGTACAATGATTACATGTATAACTGCAGCAGTTCGACAAAGTGATACCGTGCTCGATCCCCCAAGCTTCTCGGAGCATACAAGTCTGCAATCAATGACAAAAACAAATACTTGAAGCTCCCTGCAGCAGTTCGATAAAGTGATACCGTGCTCGATCGCCCAAGCTAGTCGGAGCATACAAGTCTGCAATCAATAACAAAACCAAATGCTCCCCCTCCCCTAATTCCGACTAAATGAAATTCCGCACAAATGGCGTTATAGTGTAGTGGTCATCACTTGGGATTTTGATATACGATTTCCCGGAACCCAGGTTCGAACCCTGGTAACGCCTGCTTTTTTGGTTTTCTAGTATGAGCCCAGTGGGCGGAACTTCCTTTGCTGGAAGACAACCGTTAACTTGCTTGCATCATGATTGCCCTTGCAGTGATCCAACTTGAAATCAGTTGAAAATTGAGTACTATTAGGAGTACTTGATCATTCACATCCCGGCCACCAGGCCGAATGGCTAGCTTATTTTGTCAGTCATCTTTTTAATGTTTGACATACCGCTCAAAGCCTCAAATTTGGTCTTTGCTGAGTTTGTGCTCTACGACATCCTCAGAAATGCCACATTCTCTCTCTCTCGGCAAGCTCAAGACTGGCAAACACCAGCAATGGCATCGCAAGACTCGCATTGCAAGCACTGAAGTTGCGCACATCAAATTTGGCCACCTTTTCAAGTCCATTCGGCACCATCGTTTGAAGGGGAAGGTCGCGGTTGAGCAGCAGACTACTTCAGCTCCACCACCCTATTCTGAAACTCGTATAAGCATGTCACCTCCTCCCAGGCAGCCTCCTTACGACTGGAACACGGACCATCCAAGTCTTCTGCCAGGAGTCAATAACGCGCGCATTTTCTCAGAGTCTGCTAGCTGGTCTACCACCGCTGGTATAGCCCCATCACAAGAGTCGTCTCATTCATTGTTTCATATGCGCTCTTCGAAGTCCACTTCAGCTCTTCTTCCGAAGCCTCCTATAGACCCCTTCGCAGACAGATTTGGTACATCCTCTGCCTTGATATCGTCTCCGACTATGTTCAACCTACGCTCTCATTCGGCGGGCGATTACATCGTACGACAGCTTGGCACAACCCTCGAAAAGCTCTCGCTGAGCGAGAGTCAGTACACTAAGCTCGAGGAAGACATCCTTCCGATCAAATCCCTGAATGCGCAATGCAATGCACTAAAATCGATCCCCACCGTGACGTCCGGTTCCCAGGGCTCCCCAACTTCCTCCGACATGATTGTCTCTCCTGCTCCCCATTGTGTACACACGTTCAACGACTCGCTTGCGTCTGGATACCTTGTGAATTTAAAACAACAGCTGCAGGAGAAGCGATGGCTGTGTAAGTTTGCTCGCTCCAAACCAGCCAAAGCACATGTTGCCGTTGCACCCACCATATTCATTACGTCTATTGATACAAAGCATCCCAAACCACTACGTTCCCTGGTTGGCCTTTTTGGGCTAGCCAATTCCCCCTGTCCTGACGACCCATTCAACGCAGATCCATTCGCCTCAGGCTATAGCCATCCCTCTCAATATGATCTGCCATTGTTGCCTTCAACGCCAACTTCTGAAGAGACAGGAGGAGTCACTGACCCTGCCGGGTATCCGCCCGCAACGCTTTTTCATGCACATCTCGAACTCTTCCCATCTGGTGGGGAGGAATTTGCAACAGCCCTGAGTGCCACCATCACCAATCCATTTGATCTTCCGCCTTTCTCTATACCGTTCATGAAACCAGACCTTCTCGGCGCTTCGTTTGATGACCATTGAAGCGAGTTGCGACGCGAACGATTTTCTGTGGACATGGGTGCCAGTAGGCTCTGAAGCCGTCGAGTTGATATATTCAAATATCTCACTGTCCTTAAGTTGTCTAAAGATTCCTTACCATGGGCACATGCACGAGACGAGGATACTCGAATTTCTCAGAAGTTATAATATCCCAATTGCAACTTGAAAGACGATTAAAAAAGGTCTGAAAGGACAACAATAACGAAATCATTATTTGCACTAATCATGGTGTTTTTTTTTCACGCTCGACCTCTTGTGAGAGCGTGCCGTACGAATATGTCCGTCACGTAGTAGTGAAGAATGTTTGGTCGGAGCTAGTTGCGTTTTCAATCTAATCGAAACGGTGAAGATGTAAAAATGAGATACGAGAATTCAGTCGTACCGAATCTCGCAAGAGACCAAGAACCAAGGCCAAACCCTCAAGATTCCGTCCCAGAGTGTATTGGGGAGAAGATCGGACTAGCCCGGTACCATCTGTGTGCCTTTCGTACACGAAGAATATCCACTGTTCTCCGCTGGTGACAACACCCCTGACGACACATAAGCTATCATAGAATTAGACTATCTCACGGAACATAGAACGACAGAGAGCTGACCCTTGAAATTGGCAATACGAAGCCGCAGCAATTGCAGCCTGAGGCAGAGCAGTCCGAACGTTATCGTGCTTGGCTTTGAAGATGTTGGAGGTTGTCGGTCCCTGGATGTATCCAGGATTCGCCAGTGCTGTGGTCGGATCGCCCAGGAGGTATTCTAAAGAACGGTTCAAAGCCACTCTAGCACGCGATGGAAAATAACTAGCCTGTGTACCGAGCGGGGAGTTTAGTCACTAGGAAGTCGACGACGCCACCAAACGAACATTCACCAGAGTCACGATTGAAGATCATTCTAGGGAGAGGAAATTCTGGAATTATGTTCACCGCCGTGTCGCCTAGACACATGACTGATACAACTCTCAACAGGAGCATGTTGATCAAGATGCGAGATCCAGCTTCAGTCTTTGGAATTAAAATAAATTTTAAGTTGATCACGGAAATCAGCCACCATAACATACCACCGTTGCGACGTGCCCGCGCACTAAACTTATCAGAAATCGTGTAATGTCAATCGGAAGACACCCTGGTGTTTCGGCCAATCCAAGGTTTTCGACTTCTTGCCTCTTGTCGCTGATTAGAAAAAGTGGACCAGACGATATCTTCAATGACAGGAGCGTCATTGGATCCACCTTAGATAAGGAAGTATGCTAAGGAGAGGCTGATCAGCGTTGTGAACAATCAAATTTCATCATCTTAACGTCTTCCAATTTGTCCCGCAGTTCTTGGAGTTTATTGATAAGACCAGAAGGCAAATTCTCGTCTCCTTCATCAAGGCTGGAACGAAATTCCTCGAGCTTATAAAGCAATTCGTTTGTATCTCCTACAGTTATGTCTGAAAGCTTTTGTCGTTTGGGAATGGGAAGCATGATGTGCGATACACGGACAGATGCGAGTCACAGGGACTTGACTGCCGGGGTTAGAACGTTGTGGCACAAGCGCTCGAGGGTCAATTTACTTTCTCACGGACAAGTCAATACTATGCGGTAATTTGGTGCGCTGGTCAAACAAATGTCACGCAAACTTCGTCGCAAAGTTTGTTGGTAGTAACGCGAACGGGTTGTAGTGATTGAAACAAGCTTTGTATCATAGGAGCAATTGTCAATTTCTATGTCTCTGGAAAATACATCAATGTATAATTAATGTAGAGTCAAAGCAACGTCAAAGAGCAAGTTTTCCAGGCGGAAGTTCATGCGCCCTCAGACGCTCACAGCGGCAGTACAATTGACAAAAATGCCCCCGCTCTATGATCAAATGTAAGTGCGAGATAGATGAAGCGTCGATGTCTCACATAGTGCTGTCCGGTGCAGCAGGCAGTCTCGTTGATACATGTTGAAACGCTTCCATTGTCCGCGTTTTTGATAACACTACATCCGTAGCCAATAAGGCCACTCAGCCCAGACTCGCTGATAGAATATGCATCAAGGATTTTATCAGCGGCTGTTGTGTTTGCCTGTCAAAATTTAGCGTGTTTGAGAGCCTTCTTTGAGTCAATGCTCATGACACATACAGTTGTAGTGTTGGTACAGCACATGGTTATTCCTGAGTCACAGTAGTATTTTGCAGATGCAACAAGCGGGAGAAGAATGGCAGAAGCTATCAGAAATAAAGACATCATTGGAATTGACCAGAGCCCAGGGTAAGGAAGTCTGAGCGGAGGCTCCCGTCGAACCCTATGTATTTATCGCCACAAAAAATTGTAGATGTTTAAGCTGACGTGGGATCAACGAGCCTCGTTGACGACAGCGAAGCAGCTAATGAGAGAGACTTTGACTTCTTCCTGCTCATGATCCGAATAGCAGATACGCCATATGCAAAGTGGTCTCTGACCTCCATTCCAGGAGAGGAATGGACAAGGTAGCGTCGTATAAAGCGAAGTCACGGTCACGCAGATCCAGCTGCAATGTAGCGATCTATCGCCGAGCCCGAGTGCTCTTTTCGGTGAAGAATCCAGAATGTGGGCCAGAGTGTTGCACCTAGAACGCTCAGAAATAAGTGATTGAGAAATACTACGTACTAAGCTTTATTAATAACCGTGTCACTTGGAGGAGATCTCCCCAATTTTGATTTCGAGTAAGCCTGAGGGACTTCCAACACCAAAAATTTCCATGTAGGAACCAGAAAGCAGTCAAAAGGGTACAATCTGCAGGCGTTTCGTAGCGGAAAGGTTTAAGTATAGATACCACCCGTGAGGGATACCCGGAAAAATAGCACGAGGAGAAATGTACATGGCGTGATTGATGGTGTAGATACTGAGAGCGTTAAATCGGGATCGCGTAGATATTCCAAGGACATGGCGACGCGTTCCAAGGGCTCGAGAGGCGTCGAGAGCGCATTCAGGCGGAGACGCAATGTTCATATTCACCGGCTGAGGAGTACTAGCCGTTGCCATCAAGAATTTAATGAAAGTGTTTTGCAAAGGCTTCCGTTTTAAACATGAACAAACAACTGCCGGGTTTCACGCTTGACCTCTAGATGAGTTTGAGTCGTGCGCTTCAGCTCCATGGCTTTCTTCTTGCGATATTCATTGTTAGCCCTTCTCAAACTATTTCAATGGGCACCTTTGCTGGCGACCCTAAATCCTTTCGGTTCTGTTCGGAGCATTGATGGAGACTCCACGGTCCTCGAGAGACATAACTCACTGTGGCCGAATCCTCCAGCAAACTATCTTCCCGCCGGATTCACTTCAAGCAATAGAAGCAGTTGTGTGTCTGCGCATAATTGCCGTTCCCCCCCATCATCCTCCGCTTTCGCATATGCACATTTGGTTTCCCAGCACAAACACTACTTGTCAAACTTCGTGGATTCTCTAGGTCAGGGTTTACTCCAGACTGTGGTTATATCACTGACGTTTATGCCAGTTTTGCTGTACTCTGACCAGTTGATTTATTTCAGTAGTGGTTTTTCC